ATGATGACATGCAGCGTAAATCTGTTTTGGCTGTTAAAGCAAAGAGCAGCATTCGCGTCTTTTATGGGAATGAGCGTGTGTGTGTGTGTGTGTTCTTTTTTCTTTTTGGCATGCACAGGGCAGCGTCACAGTAATTAATGACTAGCTGCTAAATGGTGCTCTGTGATCTCACACGGTAACGAGAAGGCATTTGTGTCGGGCTGAGCTTGACAATTATCTTAGTGGTGAGAAAACATTGGGGTGCACTGGTGGCAGCTTGATTAATCAGTCCTAAAGAGCCCTAGTGTGAATATTTATGGGACTCATGTAATTTAAAAAGATATTTATTTGATCTATTTCAAACAATAAGTTGTTCTATTTTTGATGTCTCTGATGATTATGTGTGTGTTTTTTATTCCAGATGTAAATCGAAGTTGAAGCCAGTTGAAAGCTTTGATAAAAAGTAGAATATGGGGCAAAAAGTAAATATATATTATTTATACCAGCATGATATTATGGATGATGATGACTGCAAAAAGTAGGATTAAAGGAATAATTAACTTATGTGTCAATATCCATGTTTAATTTGTTCTGAAATATATTTTGTATTAGTCCCTCCAGGATTTCCTGATGTGTTTTTTATGGTGTTACTTTGGGAATATTTGCAAAGAACTTTGCAATATTTTTCCCCATAAAACATCTTTTTTAAATCTACATATACGAGAAAAGAATATAGATTAGCTACTTGAACATTTTTATTCTTTAAAAAACTTAAACAGCTTGATTTTTGTCAATTTTCATATTGATCATGTTTGCTATAACTTGACAATTACAGTACAGCTGAGGCAGCAGTTGTAGAAATAAGAAATACTGCAACCTGCAGGTGGGAGGCACCTGCAGGTTGCCCCCCACCTGCAACCCAAAGCTTTTAATCATTATTGTGGAAAATTTGCAATAAACTCACAATTATGCATATGAGCTAAGAAATGAGGGAATCTGTTGATTTTGCATAAATTTCCATAATTGCAGAATCATGGAAAACTCAATGGACTGTGATATGGATTTTTCATTATAGATGTTTTATTCTCTAAAATTCTCATTTGTATTTACTTCACAAATGTATTTTCCTAAGTTCGTGTATATCTTTCCATGTGTGTTTCTGTTCTCTGTTTTTACTCTTACATCTGCTGTGTTCCCTAATTTAAACGTAAAGAAAATAATTTATTTACGTTCTAATGAAAATGGAAACAAAGGTTTATGCTACCCATAACTGAACAAAAATAACCTTGATATTTTATTTCTTATTTCTGGCAGGGTAGTTTTTCATTTACAGAGTTATGAATATAAATCTACATTCTGAATTTTTGTAACTTTAATCCACCATAGGGAAAGGAATGACTGTAAATTCTGGCTAAATTAAAGAGGGAGACACACCGAATACAGGTAGAAACTAAAAATGCCTTTAAAGCAACATTATTTTATAACCTTCCAGTAGTCAATGTAGCCTTGATGAAAAGCTTTTTATTCTGTTAGAACTGTGTCTATTTAATGTGTGTGTGGCTCAGCACAGCTCAGCTGAGCCACACACATTTTATTAACGTTCAGCTTCTGACCTGAACATCAGGGAGCTTTTACTGTCATTGCCCTTGCAACATTGTAATATTTATGCATTGTGGGTTGTTGTGATAGTTATTGTCATCACATCGTTGAAGTTAATGCAAAAGTGAACAATAAATTTGCTTTCGGCTCACTGTTCACGTTCATGTAACAGCTCTGCTTTTTCTGTTAAAGCTACTGATAACTTATAATTCACTCTGAATGATCTGACATGGGTTTTGTGTCCTTCAACGTATGAGTCTTTTGCTTTCTGCTATAGAGTATTTCTATTGCAGAGCAAACATGTCTTAATATTTTTCTGAGTAACACGTTTTTGCAAACGCTCTGCTTTCAGATTTCTCAACAATGTGAGCTTAATTACTTGACCTTTACAGAAGCTCTTAGTTAGTATTAGTTGTTTTTTTTTTTTTTTTTTTTTTCGTCAAGGAGACGGTCATAGGGACTTGTGTTTAAGCCAATTTGGTTTCTGGATACAAACTATATTTTGTTGCTTTGTACTTGTGATGTGTGCAATGACAATAAAGTTTAATTCTATTCTGTTCATTCCAGAACTGAACAGTTCTTTTATTCTAACTAGAGATGCACTAAACATACACTCAGTAATAGAGCCTAATGAAATACGTAGACATTTAAATTGCACTTTTATAGTTTTAACAAACAGCATGTTGGATAAAACACTTTTGTTTTGCTTTCAGTAAAAATTAGATTAAACATATGGACACCTAGTAGTGCCGTGGAGTTTTTCACATTTAACCTCTTAATAACCTCAAATGACAATGTATATTGGGAGTCTTTTGTAATAGGTCACCACCATAGAAAAAGTGCATAGTAGTGTTTAGAGAGGGTTTAGTTGAAAAAAAATCTGAGCCATAAATCTCTCACAAAGCACTGTTAAACACATAATCTGAAGATGGAAGACAGAGCTATCTGTGAACCATCTTATACATGCAAAATGACACTTTTATGTTGTGATAAACTAACAGAGTAAACCATTATCTCCATGATGAAACATAGTAGTGGTGGCATCATGCTATGGGGATTATTTTATTGACCAATTAGACCAGTTAGAAAAGTGAAACTGGTCAAAGTTGAAGTAATTGCACGTCAATTCTTAAAGATAAACGTTTAGACGCTGCACTAGAGGTGAGACTGAAAGAGAGTTTCACCTTTCAGCAGCAATCTGAGCGTAAACATGCATCCGTAGCTCTCATAGAACAGTTTATGGGTCAGTCAAAGTTCAGACTTAAGTCCTTTTGAGAATCAGTGCATCGGCAAAAAGAGTTTGCGTGATGGTCTGTAGAATCACAAAACCAGCAAAAATCTAAATCTGCAGGTAAGACCACTGAGAGAATCAGAAATAAGTATCAGCCAGTTTCAATCTGATACATTTCTAATTATAACCAAGCAGATTTATCCTCCAATTTAACCTTGAACTGAAAAGAGGAGCTCATAAAAAGGTAGTACTGGAAACGGTTGTATCTTATTTTTAAAGTTGTCCCAATTTCTTTTTTTTCTTTTTTTTTCTTTTTTTTTTGCTCTAAGAAATTTTAGAAACAAACTTTTTATTTTGCTACAGTAGTTAAAGCTAATTGATAAAATACTACAATACTCATTCTCTAATTACAATTTTAATGTGCAAATGAAAATGTAAAGAGAGGGAGACAACACAAATTATTGTAAATCTATTTCTACACACAGACCCACACCAAATTTAATTATAGTAATTAGGTAAAAGTACTAATTGCAGACATATTTATTTTTCACATTGGGGTTAATAGTCAATTAAAATTGGCAGTATGTTAAATTATTGTTGCTTGTTAATAAGGCGGATTCTGTGGTTCGTGATGAGACACACCGATGATTATTTCACCAAAAGATAATATATGGTAACTCCTGTAGCATGTTACAAATGCTTGTTTAAACCTTGAATTATTATTTATTTATTTTTTATTTATTTATTTTTTTTAAAGGTTGCCAGGTGGTATTTCTAAAATGTGACATCTTATCATTTTGTCCTAAATGAAAAGGCATTTCTTCCTCAATAGAAAGGACAAAACTTCAGTGGTTTATTCCTCATTTTTCTACTTGTCTTCTATCTCTCTCTCTCATTGCTCACTTTCCTGTTCGACCACTGTCAAAGAAATGCCACTAAAGCCAAAAAAGCTATTTCAAAAAAGAAAAGCTCTGCAGAGTGAGGAGTGCCAAACATCCTATGCTGCACCATTTTTGAAGGTGCTCCACATGATGCACAATAAAAAGTCTCTTCTTTACCTGCATGTTTATCTGCGTTTCTTCTCCCCATTAACTTGGTTACTGAGCATTTATGCAACAAATATTTCTTAATTTTATTAATACTATTGCCTAGAAAATTGATTGATTATATTATAGTTATATATTACAAACAGCGTTTTTTATTGTAATGATCCTGTTTCATGTGATGGTGCAGCTTTCAAAGCGTACTACTTTTTAGGATTGAACAGTTGATTTCTAAGATCCACACTTCATTACCATTAGATAAAAGGGTTTGTCCTCCCATATTGCCCCATTTGTGTCCGTACTTTTTTTTTTTTCCTGTCTGCATTTCCTTTTTTCTTTTCAGTTTTTGTTTTTCACATCCAAGAGTTTCCCCTGAAGCCTGCTCATCAATCTCCCAATCTTTCAATTTTCTGCCGTGGCAAGAAGCACTTAAATTTATCGCTCCATCTGTTTATTACATGCCCATCTCTCCTTCCCTTTCCTTCTGCCTTCCACTCTGGGTTCTCCTCCTCTCCATCTGTTTATGCTTGTTGCTGATCACCTTTCTGTTTGGCATCTGTCCTTCACTGCTACTATCCCATGGTTCAAACACTTTTTGAAAATCAGGTCACCGATGAGCTTTTCTAATGAACCAATTGTGAGTTTTCTGAAATTCTTTGCTTCAAACTGCGGAGATATTTTAGGTCCAGAAGATATATTTCCTGTCATGGAGCAGGAGTAATCTCCACAGAGCTCACAAGTAACAAATGAAAGGAAGGATCTGTTGTCTTTTTCACTGCTATTTTAGACTCCCTGACAGATCTTAGTTGCTTAGTTACTTTTTCCTGCACAGTGCAAAAGTTTGCTTAAAGTCTACAGAACCAAGTCATGATCTTCTCGTTTTATATATCTCTGAAAATGTTTGGTTGTTTATTTTCAACATCAGTACCTGCAGGTGTGAGGTAGAAGAAGTCGCCGGTCCCTCTTTTTTCCTCTGTGGCAAACAAGGATTGATTAGCAAAAGCACAAAGTGTCTTTGTTGCTGCCGCTACTTTCAAACAGTGTCAGGAGGACGTAAGCGCTTCATCAATGCAGACAGCAGCAGTTTGACATTGTGCTATCTGTTTCTAATTTGTCTCTGTTCCCTCCCTCTTGTTTCTCTGCCACAGATCACATTCTTCATGCTGCTGTCTGCAGTGTGTGTAATGCTCAACCTGGCGGGCTCCATTCTCTCCTGCCAAAACGCTCAGCTTGTTAACTCGCTGGAGGAGTGTAAGCTGGTGAGACCAACTAGACATTGACCCATCACAATCTTAGTTATTTGACCGTCAGTCCAATGTCTACATCCATTATTTCTATGCAGTGTTTGGGTGGGGTGCTGTGGTGCCTTTGTCCAGCACTCAGAGGGGGTGGTCTGTGGTGGGTGATGAGCAGGGTTAGTTTTCTGATATGATTTTGAATGTAGGCCAGCAATACATGTTTTTTTGTCCTGTGTGTTTTTCTGTTGCCCCGGTGATGGACTGGTGACCTGTCCATACAAGATAACAAGCTATAGGCAATGGAAAAAGTAATTTTTTAGTCTCACATCTTAATCTCACATCTTATTTTTGCCCCCTACATGTTTTTTGGCAAGCTGCAAATATGGGACGTCTTGTAGCTTTTTTCTGTCCAACCATAATTTTCTTGATAATTTTCCATGAAGGTCAGATGAGCAAATAGTTGTCCACTTGTCAGTTTTTTCCCCACCTGAGCTGTGAACCTCTGCAGGTCCTTTAGAGTTACCATAAACCTCTTAGTTGCATTTATAATTTATGCACTGGTCTGTCAGTTTGATTGGCTCCCCTTGTGTTGGTAAGTTTGCACTTCAGGCATATTCTATGAGGAATAACGGGATGGATTGAGCAGTGCGCTGTGAAATGTTCCAGGTTCAGGATATGGTTTTATAAAATAGCCTTCCTAATGGATGGGATTTTATTCAGGGGTATCAAAATAAAGAGGGGCTGCATTCAGTAGACGGCACACATTTCAGAATTTTATTGATAAAATTGCAAAATTATGGACCTTTCCACTTCACAATTATGTGCTGTAACGCAAAATATATCAAAAGTAACGTCACATATATGAGGGTTATTGTCACAAATTCAGTACATCACAAGTATTGAATCAATTAATTATCTCCATGATAAGAAATCCTGCATAAAGGAAGAATTTACCAAGCCACTAAACAGAGCAATATTGTGATGAATTCTATGTTATAAACAACTTTCATACCAGACAAATGGTCATGGGTTTTTTGTTATCCAACTTTGCACAACTTCTGTTCTAAACAGACTGCTGAGCTGAGTCATTCCTGAAATCAACAAAACCATTTGTTTGTCACCACTGACTCACGATTATCACATCCGCTCCAGCAAAACTCAGTTCTATGACGTATAGACTCAGGGACACTGAATACAATTTCTCTCCACAATTTTTATGTGCGACAAAACATATAAAGCCTCTATCCTTTGCCTTCCAACTCACGCTTATGTCCCTTTTTTTGTGTCAGTCTATCATACATTGCATAAAAATATCAACATTTGCTGCCATAAAGGTACATATTAAAATAGTTTTGCAAATATTCGACTGGCGTAAGGTGTCCGGTTTGGATAAAACTGGAAACTTAGAGTGTTTTTGTTTTTTTTAGTTCTTCTTCACCCTTTGCATCCAGGCAGCTTAAAATATTAACTACCCACAAAATCTCCCTTTATTATTCTCCATAGCTGTAAATCTATGTTTTGTATGAAAGCGATATTGTGAACTGAGTATGAACTGTGTTTTTGTTTGAGGTGCTGTTATGTAGCTGCAAAAGCTGTAAGCTCTCTTTTCTTTTAAAAAACAATCCAAATAATAGCCTTTAGAGACCGAACTTTTCTTAACCAGATGCCTAGCCGATGTTTTAAAGTGAATTTATAGTGCCTGGGGTTTGTATCTATTTCATAACTGTAGAAGCCCCTTGTGGTTTCTAAGACACCCAGCCCACTAACCCAACTACTTCCACAGCATAAGCAGCTTTTCTCCTGCAAGTCGGATCGCGCATGCACACTAACTTTGGTACTTTATGTGACTCTCCAGGGACCCTCACCCACACGTGACTGAAATATTAATGTTCTTCATCTCCTCTCCCCAATGTAATTAACCCATACTTGTTGAGTTCATGTCCTGCTTTTTACTCAATCTGGGACACATAGCAGAGGTACCTCAATCCATCCCAGAGTAGCTCATCATATCCTCACTTTGTCGTTTTTACACGTGCACAAGGCTTCACTGTATAAAAAAGAAAAAAAGTCTCATTTGTCTAAAAACAATCAGCGTATTTTTATGGAGAGAGGGGATAAATTACTCGACAGAATAAGCTGAGGTCTGGCCCGTGCGTGTGTCTCTGTGTCTCTTTGTGTGTTTGGTCGTGCACGCCCGCATGTTTCTCTGTGTTTTTGTGGCATGCCTGTTTGAGTGCGGATGTGTGGTCTCCCCTCCTCCCCACCAGGTACCGTTTGACAACGATGGAGTGTGTGTCTGCTGCGAGCAACAGAAGCAGAGCACCGGCTGCAACAACCAGGCAGAGATGCTGAAACTGAACCCCCTGCGGGACTGCAACACCATCCGCCTTCGCCTCAAGGTGGCCATGTTTCTCTCGCATTTCTACGTTTTGAAAGAATACTGAATATATAATTTATTTTATTTAGGTTTTTTTATCTGACATGGATTATTGTTTTAAATAATGTCCAGCTCTGAAAAATATCAGCCTTACAAGAAGATATTGGATTCAATTTGTTCAGTCATTTAGTCTTGCTTGCATTTTCGTCACAGTAACATTCAATCAGTCGAACTTTATTTATAGAACACTTTTAATTCAGTCTAGTGTAAAACAAAGTGCTTTATAGAAATCAAAATCTGAAAGACATGAGTTTAATCAGCTAGCGCAATAAAATGATCAAAATGATCAAATAAATGGAAAATGGTAAATTAACTGTACTTGTTTAGTACTTTTATCAAATCCAAGGACTCCAAACTGCTTTACACTACATTCACCCATTCACACACACTTTCACACACTTTATTTGGTAAGCTACATTGTAGCCTTAGCTGCCCTGAGGTAGCGGACAAAACAACAAAGTGACTGAGATGGACGTGGAGATAAAACAAGCAATTACTGTTAATAAAGCAATGAGGAATTAGAAGTTTGAAGTGAAAAAAAAATCAATTAGAGAGAATGAGCAACTCTGAAAACATAGTCATCGAGATTCAATTAGTAAAAAGACCCTGGAGATAGATGTATGTTTTATGAGAAAAACTGTGAAATGTTATAAAATGTTATAAAAACACTGATGTTAAGAGCATGCTATTAATTAACGATCAAATCTAGAATAGTAACAATATTTTTGAAAACATGTAGCAGTATTTGCCAACAATTATTAAACAGCATTGAAGAGTAAAAGTTGAATAAAGTGTGTGTGCGTGTGTGTGTGTGTGTGTGTGTGTGTGTGTGTGTGTGTGTGTGTGTGTGTGTTTCAAAGGTGAATCGTAGAGAATTGATAATGGTGGGTAATAAACATCAATTATTACTGTTGGAAAAGACGAGGCTGGTCAAAGTGTGAAAAGTTTGATTTTGAGCATATCGAATGTTATTTTCTTAGATTTTCACCAAAAATAGTCATGAAATCGTATCTGCAAATATCATCTACCTAAAACCTTGTATTTACCATAAACATTTTAATGTACAAAAATTATGCTAAATTGAACTTTAACGCATGAGAGTCATAATATTTTACTTCTCTAGATAGACTCATGGGAAAATGCTTTCCAATATTTTCTTCTAATGTGTAGTTTTTGTTCAACAACATGACAGTTTCAGTCTCCAATTAGAGGGAGTTGTAAAGCATATGTCTTTTTTTTTCCCCAGAAGGCAGATGTTTTAGTATTCACTGCGTTTTCAGGCTGGCTGTAGTTTAGCAGTTCGTGACCTGGGTGGAATATCTTATCTCTCCTGGTGTCTGCAGGAATAAAATACAGTGTGAAGCACTCTGCCCCTAATGGATAATGACAATCATATCCATTAATTTTATACCCCTGATTGATTATAAAACATTGATAACCAAATCAAAAGACTTCTTCGGGTGAAAAATGCTTATGAAAGGAGGAAAGATCGAGCACATTCATCACTATGGTCATAACTCATTAAAGAAATGGGGAATTGGTGCTATAAAGCTTTATTAAGCACCGGAGCAGTCAGACATATTGAGTTATATCTAAGAGGAAGGTGTCATATGCAAGTCCCAGGAGTCAATTTCCATTTCAGATGCTGTTAGACGTCTGATTGTGATGAACTCATCTGCAGTGTTGTTCTTTTCTGTAGCATACAAAAGAAGAAATCTGATTTAAATGAAAGCAAGATGAAGCTGTAGACGATGTAGACTTAGTGTCTCATTTCTCTACAGCTTCTCTCCTCTTTAAGTGGCTCTCTTACATTTATGAAAGCACATCACATTGCCAGGGATATGTGCCATTCATTCTCCACAGACATATTTAATTTCCATACAGTCTTTTTTTTTTGCGTTTCATTACTCTGCCTGGGGCTGTAAATCATTTGTGAGAGGTGGTATTGAGGTAATTTCTGGTTTCCTGTTAAGAGGCGGATGTATAACCTTACTTTGGTTGACCTAAGGGCAAAGTATTTTTCAGAGGTTAAATATTCAGTTAGCACACATATTAAGCAGCTTTAGTGAAAAAAAAAAAAAAAAAATTCAACACTTTCTCTTTGGTTTTTGTCCTGGAATGTTTTATAATGCCTTATTATTGATGTCCTCTCAAACCTAGGTTAAAATTAACTCAGGTGAAGCTAATTAACATGCAATATGTCAAAAGACAAGTGCAGTTCAGCTATGTTAAGAAATAACTAATTGCAGGTGTATATATTTATTTATTTAGAGAGAGAGAGAGTGGTGGACTTTCATTTCTGTTTCGATTGGATCTAAGAGATCATGATAGTTTAACAATATAATTTAGTTTACTTATGTAGCACCAAATAATAAATGTTGTTTCCAGTCACTTGACAAAAAAAAAAAACATTTCAGTTCAATCATACATACATTCCAATTGATCCTAGTTATCACATACACAAACATAGATCCTCATGAGTCAGGACACCGCTTGAAGAAAATAGATCCTCTTCTAAACTTACCCAAATGTTCAGAAAGGAGAATAATTTAAAACAACAAGCTCAAAACAACTCAAATGTGATAAACAAGACTGGACAAGAAGAACCCTGTTGTACATTGGCATCATGCACTGATTGTCAAAAGCTTACTGTTGGAGAAATGCAGAATTATGCTATTACAATAAAATATGAATTTATTTTCAGATGTTTTATGCAGAATCACCAGGGTGGCAGGTAATTTGCATGACATCAAAAACCCAGACCAGTTGCCCCACCAGCAGCCGGCGTGTTTGGCACTGCTGGCTTTCCCTTTCCAAATCGCCATCTGTTTTGGCAAACCCCTGACCATTTCCAGCTTGTTCTCTCTCGTCCGCAATGTTTTCGTCAGTGAAAGGAATGGCGTGACAACATCGATCTCAGATTATGCATCCACATCTGAAGTTTCTCCGTTTTTAAACTTGATGATGTCTCGGATAAAATCATTTTCTCTGGAGGTGATAAAACATGATGAAAACCATTTTAATAATGAAAATATTCACCGCATGATTCACCATTATTAATAACAGAGTGGGAAGTTTTATACTCCTGAAATGAAGGATTTCAAATTTATATAATTTCTTCAGATGCTATTTGTCCACATCTGTGTGGGTCCAGATGTTCTCTCTTTTAAGGTATTTCTTAAATCTATGATTCATTAAGCGTATATTTAAAGCTGTTTGTAAAAAGTATGATTATAACATCAGTCAATGTTCAAATTATGTTGCTGGGCAATTTTCTCATCTTTCCAGAATTCATTTCTGGGGGAAAAAAAACAACTCATCAGTGCACAATATTAGTACTTCACTGAAATGATCCATTAAAAACATGCAGCTTGTCGGTTTCTGATGCAGGATACTAGCACCAAAGATTGTGTGTAATGGTAAGACATCACTTTCCAGACAAGTGAGAAATAACAGGTACAACATTATCCTTCTTGTAAAGAGGAAGTGAAAGAAACCCATTACACATCCTGTTGCAGTTGCACCTGACGGTAGATGAGATATTTTGTGCAACATAAGAACATGCTGTTCCTGATGTTGGTGCGGGGGTTTGAAAAAGTGTTTGCCTACTTACAAACTTTTTTTTTTGTCACTAATACGTGCTAATACCAGATCATCAAACTAATTGTAACATCAGACAAAAACAATCTCGGTACAAAAAGCATTTTTTAGATGATGATTATGAAGGGCAAGAAGCTGAGCAATCAAATCTGTCCCAATGTGGAAAAATAAGTGAGGCCATTCAGAAGTGGGTTTGCTGGTGCGTTTGGATCTTTGTCCTGCAACAAAACTTAAATAATATTGAGCTTAAAGTGCCTTTTTTTAAAGATTTTTACAAAGACATGTTTTTGTTGTTGTTGTTTTGGCTATTTCTGCCTGGTCTCTTTTTTATTGTTGGATCACAAACGTTATTTTAACCCAGGCAAATGAGGCTGGCAGTGCTTTAGATCTGCTTTGACACCCTGGATGATTCATTATGAGCTCTTGGATTCATTTTAGTGAGCTGGCTTCAATAGCAGAAGACAAACAACAATTTGTCATTTGTAATTGAATTACTTTAGATTATAGCATCTTTTTTTTATCTTTCAGGCTGCATTATGTTGTCAGAGAAGTTATATTTAAGTACTTTATTAATTCTGTTTATGAGACAGGCCTCCATGTGGCAAGTTAATTGAAACTTTCCAAAATATTGATAATCATAGTTATTTTATGATATCAGAAATATAATGAATAACTTTTTTCAGATCCTCATTATCTACTTTTTGTACTTAAGGATATTTTTGTCTGACAAATTTGTTTTATGATTTGAAACATGTAACGGTGTAATAACGATAAAATCAGGGGAGAAATATAACTTTGTAGCACTTAACGTTCAAAACAGCAAAAATGAACAGATTTAAAAACTCATGGTTGCAGGGAAGAGCCCAGAGGAAGAAAAACAGAACCAGAGCCCAGATGATGGGCTACTGAGGTTTATGGATGCTCGTCTGAACTGTTTGATTCAATTGAAGCCCTATTGTATCTCAAAATGTCCAAAAAAAAAAGTTGATGTTGGCTGTCAGAAAACACTGTTAGAACCGCATGGGATATAGCATCACACGGATATCCTTCAGATGTTAGAAAATCTCTGAAAGATTTTTCTTTTTTCTGATAAAATAGATCTCTGCTGTCTCTTCCTGAACGACATTCAGGACTTTCAGAGGCTCTGAAGAGCTGATTCACAAATGGGCGGGAAATTAACAGGACTGCCTGCAAAACGAGTGTCTTCACACTGATTGGAAAAGAACAGGGCTCACTTATTCGACACCTTTAGCGTGATGTGATTCCAGACGCTTTGAAGGAAAAACTAATTGAGACATTCGGTCCAGAACCTCACAGTTCGAGAGGCAGCAGTTGAGTATCAGTGATGTGAAAAAGTAATTA